CCGGAATCCGGTGAGATCGACAGCGCGCGTTGCTGCTGTTGTGTGCGTTCTGCAGTAAGGGGCCTTGACGGCCGTGTCCGATGAGCGACAGCTTTTCCCTGCGGGAAACACGACACTACCTCCCCGCAGCTCCCAGCGTTGGGTGTGCACAGATTCGCGGACCATCGACCGACCCCCCCGACCTCCGACCTGAGTGGCAGGAAACCTGGAGAGCGCCTCCCAACCCTGCATCTAGATGCGGGATCTAGTGAGTGGGGGAACAGCAGCAGAGATGCGGCCTTGGCTGCTTGAGCGCCCCAGTCCAATGCACAGTGCAGCGAAGTGCAGATGAGAGCTCGGGGGTGCAAGATGCCGGGGTAGCTTCACGCCGTACCCAGCTTTTCTCGACTGGAGAAGGGCCTCCGCGATGCGGAAGCATGGTCGTATATATGCTCGGATGCCCACGGTAGCGGAACGCGCCTGCCCTCTCTCCTTGACCCGGAGTTCGTCTCTGACCTTCCCTCTGCTCCATTGCCGACACTCTTGCCTCGACTGAAGGCACAGCGACAGCAACATGGCGCAGCCAACCCTCAACCAGAGCGTCGGCTATGGCATCGTCCTGGGCCTCGGCGCGCTGTTCGCGCTGGGTGAGTGTCCCCCGTCCTCGCCCCCTTGCCAAGGGGACTGCTCAAAGAACGTTGCTGACTATCCTCCCCAGGTATGATCCTGGTGACCTTCATCCTCAAACGATACAACCGAGAACTCCAGACATCCGAGATGTTCAACACTGCCGGCCGTACCGTCAAATCGGGACTGGTCGGCTCCGCTGTGGTCTCGTCGTGGACCTGGGCGGCCACTCTGCTCCAGAGCTCCGGTGTTTGCTACCGCTACGGTGTGTCTGGACCCTTCTGGTATGCCTCGGGAGCCACCGTCCAGATTCTGCTCTTCGCCACGCTCGCCATTGAGCTGAAGAGACGCGCGCCGAACGCCCACACCTTCCTCGAGGTCATCAAGGCACGATATGGCACCTTCACCCACATCGTCTTCATGGTCTTCGGCCTGGTCACCAACATCCTGGTGTCCCTCATGCTCATCGTCGGTGGTTCGGCCACCGTGTCGGCCCTGACCGGCATGCATACCATTGCTGCGATCTACCTGCTTCCCGTCGGTGTCGTAGCCTACACTGTGTTCGGTGGTCTCAAGGCTACCATCTTGACGGACTGGGTGCACACCTTCATCCTGCTCATCATCATCATCGTCTTCGCCTTGACGACCTATGCCAGCTCCGACATCCTTGGCTCGCCCTCGGCCGTTTACGATGCGCTCACCGAGGCCGCCAAGAGACACCCTGTGGAGGGCAACAAAGATGGCAGCTACCTCACCATGCAGTCGCGCGAGGGTGCCATCTTCTTTGTCATCAACATCGTCGGCAACTTCGGCACCGTGTTCCTCGACAACGGCTACTACAACAAGGCCATCGCTGCGTCGCCCGTCCACGCCCTCCCCGGCTACATCCTTGGCGGTCTCAGCTGGTTCGCCATCCCCTGGCTCACCGCCACCACCATGGGTCTCGCCGCGCTCGCCCTGGAGAGCAGCCCGACCTTCCCCACCTACCCCGACCGCATGCCCGATGCCGATGTCAGTGCCGGTCTCGTGCTCCCCTATGCCGCTGTCGCGCTCCTCGGAAAGGGCGGCGCCGCGGCTACCCTGCTCATTGTCTTCATGGCTGTGACGTCCGCCACATCGGCCGAGCTCATCGCTACCAGCTCCATCTTCACCTATGATCTGTACCGCACCTACTTCAATCCCGAGGCCAGCGGCAAGCGCCTGATCTACATGTCGCACGTGCTCGTCATCGGCTATGCCATCTTCATCTCCACCTTCTCGGTCGGTCTGTGGTACGCTGGTATCTCGCTCGGCTACCTCTACGTCATGATGGGCGTCATCATCTCGTCTGCCGTGCTTCCCGCCACCCTCACCCTGATCTGGAAGGGCCAGAACAAGTGGGCCGCGTCGCTGTCACCCATCCTGGGTCTCGCCTGTGCCCTCATCGCCTGGCTCGTGACGGCCAAGAAGGAGTGCGGCGACCTCGGCGTGGCCTGCACGGGCTCCAACAACCCCATGTTGGCTGGCAACGTTGTGGCTCTGCTGTCGCCATGCATCTTCATCCCCATCTTCACTCTCGTTTTTGGGCTCGACAAGTACGACTGGAAGAGCATGCTGGAGATCCGCAAGGGTGACGATCACGATCTGGCGACCGATGCCGGCGTTGATCTCGAGGATGTGCCTGGCGGCCACGAGGAGACCCAGATTGAGTTTGAGGAGGAGCAGCGCAAGTTAGAGCGCGCGGGCAAGATCAGCAAGATCACCACCGTGGTCATGGTATGTTCCTCGCTTATAACCCCCCTACTCACTGTCAAACAATCACTGACGTTTTCCCACAGACCATCGCCCTCCTTGTCCTCTGGCCCATGCCCATGTACGGCTCGGGCTACATCTTCTCCAAGAAGTTCTTCACCGGCTGGGTTGTGGTCGGCATCATCTGGATCTTCTGCTCCTTCTTCGGTGTCGGTCTCTTCCCCATCTACGAGGGTCGCCAGACGCTGAAGAACACGTTTAAGTTTGTCTTGAAGGATATCACAGGCAAGACGCACCCCAAGACGATCCACGCGCAAGAGGCCGCCGTGGAGAAGAGCGGGGAGGCTACGCCGCCCGAGAAGACGGGCATCAAGGAGGAGGTCACTGCTTCTTGAGCGTCGCGCCTGGTCGCTTTGCCGGGATGGAGGGTTTGCTTTGGTTCGGTGGTGTAATGCGATGCGATGGATACCCTCGTTTTGGCTTTTTTGGTGTGGATTGAAGCTTGCGATGATACCCCTTTATGGGAAGAGAGAATAATCAGGTACTAGTACAAAAAGAGCACTATATCGCTCCCATGCTTTTGTTTCTTGCTGCTAGCAGTCCCGGTGAAAATCAGCAGCCCCTCAATTGGGCTGCGGTGGGAAGGGTGAGTTGGGGCCTGAGGGAAAGGAACGGTTCGTTGCACCAGAGGTGGACCACGTGCACCCCCCGGCCAAGACACACTCGCCACATCCTGGATTGGTCCAGATAAGGGTCTGTGTGGTTGGTGTGCCTGCCGTGGCGTGGCATTGGACGGAAGGATGGATAATCCCGCGTCTTACGCAGTGCTACTAATCGGGTCGGCAAGGGGTTCGTTGCTTCTTATTAGCCGGTGCTAAGACCCTGCGTCTGGGCAGAGTGTCTCGGCGTGTGGGTGTTGGCTTGGGTAGTACCATATTTGGGAGAATAGGCACAGTCAGCCAGCCCTCCAAGGCGTTGGGGATGTTGGGTCACCCCACCTCACCTCACTGTCTGGTTTTGACGCGTCGTCGGAATGTCTTCACACTCACTCGTCAACACTCGCTCAGCTCCCATGGCTGTGAGTCGCCAGGTGTGAGTTTTACGCGACTTGGTTCGACTTTCCTTCGCCGAGCCCTGATTCAGGGGCAAGACTCGGGCACTATCCCTTGAGCCCTGGTTGGCGCGGGCCCCGACCAGCGCTGGGGAAACCCCTCATTGCCGCTGGCTGACCGGCATCCAATCACCACCGTCAACCCCAACCAACACCTTGCCTAGCATCACTAGCCAAACACAAGCCAACCAGCCAGAGTCCAAAAAAATGGCCTGCACCTACACGGGAAACCCCTCCCTCTACGGCCTCGGCATCCGCACCGCCTTCTACTTCCTCTGGTTCTCCTCCCTCGTCGCCTCATGGATCACCCGCCCGGAAGTACCCACGATACGTTTCATCCACGCCTTGTTCGTGGGCGCTACGCTCCTATCCATCATAATCCTCTCGTCGTGGGCGACGGTCATGCCGATCGATGTGTACATCACGGTGCTGCTGGCGATGGGGACGTTTTACGGGCTGGTGCCGTATTATTTGTGGAGGGCGGTTACGGTTTGTAACCCGTTTGTGGACATGGGGAGGTGGCCTAGGGTGAAGAGCACGGGGATGATGAAGCTGGTTGTGGGGCTGATGGTTGTGAGTATTTTCTTTGGCTGATGGGAGGATTTGATGGTGAGGGATGCTGATTCTCGACAGATCGGAGGCGCGTGCTTCCAGATATGGTTCTGGACGACGGGGCTTCATGAGCTTCCGCGGGAGAGGAATTGTCAGACGTGGGGGTTCTTCTTCTCGAGGGCCAAGCTGGATGCGCCGGTGTTTGTCGCGGCGAATATGGTCTTTGTGATTCTTATTCTGATCGGCGCGACGATGGTGCTAATGAGGGATCTGGGCATGTTGGGGTTGCCGTGGTGGATGGCGAAGAGGGAGAAGAGTTTCAGGAAGATGGTCAAGCGCGCCGAGCACAGGGGGGAGGAGTAAGTTTGACTTCACGCTTGCAGGGTCCGTTGAGGGTAACTGACTGTTGCAGGTATTCCTGGAAGCGAGAGCTGCAGTTCGCTCAGGGGGTGTCGGACCTTGCGGTGGTGAGCGTGTTGGTGATTGCCATCGAGCTCACCATCCAGTGGAACAACCTCACGGCGGTAAACGATCTTGCGGATCCAGCGCAGATGATCCCCATGGTTGTTTCGGCAGGGCTGTTTGCCCATGTTGGATATGTGTGGGTCAATCCATACCACAACGCCGAGATTATCGAGGATCTCATGAAGGATATGCCCGAGGCGTCGAATTCATCGTCAGGGTCGAGGAGGAGGTCCAGGAGTCGCGGGAGTGCCGATGTGACGGTGATAGTAGGGTAATATGTCTTGATTTGGTTGGCGTTGTGTACGAGTTGCTGAGTTGCTGTACGATTTTGTCGGGGTTCTGGAAGGGCGGCATATATCTGGTCTGTCTGTTTTCTGGAGAGGTCGAACTACATGCATGTAGACGCGTTCTTCAATACTATATTTCCCAGGAACCGTAGTCAAATGTACGTCCGTTCCCGACTTCAAAACAAAAATGGCAAGATGTGACAAAAATGAAAACATCAAAACTGAAGGAAGCTATTCGCTTTCTGTATCTCGGGAACGGGGAATTGAGCCCCGGGCTGCTGAGTGAAAACCAGCGATGTTGACCACTACACCATACCCGATTGATGTGAAAGCAGGCGGATCAACCCCTTGAAGGAGTGGGAACGATGCGGGTGTCCCTGACTCGAGTTCCGGAGCTCGCCTACTCCTTTTTCTTCCCCACCGTCCCAGCTTTCCTCAGGCCAACAAGCGAAACCCCCAAGACAACAGCACAGCATGCAAAAATAGTCCAAAACGCAGCTCGGTATCCCTCCATCAGCGCGGCTGTATGATCAGCCTTGGACGAATGCTCCGTCACCGAGGCGGAGATGGCGGCCATAATGGCCAGTCCTGCCGAGTTTCCAAACTGGGCCACCTCGTTGAAAACGCCTCCGGCCAGCGACTGCACTTCGAGCGGAAATGCATCGGATATGACAAGGTTCGAAACGGTAAAGAGTACATCCGGGTTTGCCGGGGAGAGAAGCATGGCCCAAAAGGGAGCATGCCAGTAGTTTGCATCCACCTTGACCGTGGCCATCAGAGGGGGGGCGACCAGGGTGACCAGGGCAGACACGACGACGAGTGTTGAAACCTTCACCCGCGAGATGAGATAGCTGATGAGGATGTTGACCGCCGTACCCATCAAGACATGCGGGAGGAACCGGATCGAGCTCTGGAGAGGTGACAGCCCCTGAATTTTCTGAAAGCTGCGCACACCATGTCAGCAAGCCCCCCTTTTCGCCCCTTTCCGCCAAAGCACTTACAAAAGAGTGCTGAAATACTCAATTCCGTTCAGGGCGGCCCAGCAGAAAAACACCGAGACGCAAACCGATGTAAAAGCGGGATTCCTCCACAGCCTGTTGGGGATGAGTGCAGGCCTCCCCCTTTTTGTCTGCCGTGCCATCCACAGCGGAAACACCCCCAACAACACAGCCGCCACCACCAACAACACAATGTTCTCCGGCCTGCTCAATTGCACATACCCTCCCGTCGCAACAGCCAGCACATAAAGCAACAACCCCATCGCCACGCTCAACATCCCCGTCCCAACCCAGTCCACATCCTCCCTCAACCTCCTCCCCTTCCCCCTGCCCCTCGCATCCACATGCACCACCTCCCTCAAGCTCCAAATCGACCCCACCGACAACACCGCATTCACCACCGCCATCATGTAATATGCCCACCGCCACCCGATCGTCCCCGTGAAAATCCCCCCCAGCACCAACCCCAGCGCATACCCCAACGGCTGCCCCATCCCATTCATCGCAAACGCCACGTTCCGCCATCCCCCCTGCGGAAACACATTCACGATAATGCTCACCGCCGTAGGCAAACACATCGCCATCGCCGCGCCGAGGAACGTCCGAAACAGAATAACCTGCATTCCAGTTTTTGCGAGTCCGACGCCGAGCGTGAACGCGAGGAAGAGAAAAGAGCCCGTTACCCAGAGGCGCTTCGCGCCGAGGATGTCTGCGACGGCGGAGAGAGGGAGGAGCAAGCAGCCGGCGGCGAGGGCGTAGACGGCGGCGGGCCAGAGGAGGAGGTGTTCGGGAAGGGAGACTTCGGTGGCGATGGTGGGGAGGGCGGCGATCAGGATGCCGGAGCCCATGGTGTTGAGGAAGGAGATGCCGGCGAGGGTGGCGATGATGGTGATGCGGTGGGTTTTGGACATGGAAGTAAAGGGGGAGGGGTGTGAGGAGAGGGATTCGAGGGCGGGTGTTGCCTGTGGTTTCTCATTCTCGCTGGGAATAGCAGGGGGAAGGGGGAGGGGGAGGGGGAGGGTTGATGGTTTCGAGGTGTTGAGGCCTGAGCCCGGGGATGGTGGTGGGCTCGGGAGGGTCGCCATGTTGATGTGGATAGTATACTCTTGTCATGTAGAAATAGAGAATTGGCCGAGTGGGGATTGTCCAGCCTTTATCCAAATCGCGATGCCCGTAACTTTGGGGTGTTTGATGACGTCACACCATGATTCTCGCGCTGATACGAGACTTTTGATCCCCTGAAGCGTATTGACCAGCTTCCTATTGGCTGCTATTGGGAACGGATGCATCCCCGCGTATTTCTCCTTCTTTGAACTGGCAAGAGTTCCCCATTGCCATCAATGTCATGCGAGGGGAAAAAAGGCCAAAAAAGGGTGGGGGGGGGGGGGGGGGGGGGGGTGGAAAAGAGGGCGTCGCCGCCCAGTTCATCTCCTCGACCGGAATCGAGCCGGTGACCTTTCGGTATGTGATCTTTCCATTACAGCCGAACGTGATAGCCAACTACACCACAAGGAGGTTCCTATCTGTTGATATCATCCACTCGCAATCCCCTTTTTGTGTGTCAAGAGTGGATCTCAACACGACAAGTGCCCCCCTGTCCCTCCACCACATCCCCACCCCTTCCACCCCTGACTTCATATGGTATTCACACTTCCGGATACCCCTCCGGCCTCCTCACCGCCTCCCCTACCGGCGCCTGCCTCGTCCAAACATTCATTCCGATCTTCTCCCCCTTGATCACTGGTAGTCCCGCATGAATAACCCTCTCGTCCCCCCTCCCGTCCTCCCTCAAGTTCCCCCAAAACACCGCATTCCCCTCGACAGCCCGAAATGTCACACCCTTCTCGTACTCCTCGTCACAATCCAGAATCTTGCACCACTTCTCATCCCGCGTGGCAGGAATCATAGGGAAATTCGTCCCTCCCCCCATCATATCCGGCGAGACATACAGGTACGCGAAGAAGCTGGTAATACGGTTACCTCCCATCGCGGGGGAGGCATACGCTTCGTTGCCGAACCAGTCGGTGTGAAAGGCGTAGTGTTCCCCGGGGAGATAACGCACCAGTTGGAGCGGTTCCAGGTGGGAGCGGGGAATGCCATGGCCTTGGAAGGCGAGAGCGCGGGCTTCGATGCAGGAGAGGATGGCGTCGTGGGGGATGTAGGTGGAGGTAGAGGTGCGGACGGCGGAGCGGGAGGAAGAGCCTGGGGAGGAGGATATGGCTGAGCGGCGCCAGGTTCCGGTGCTGGTTGGGGGGTTAGTTGCCATGGGTACAAGGGAGAAGATTGGGGGGGACTGACGTTTTGAGACGCAAGTGTGCGCGTTCGGAGGGAGTGGTGAAGTTGTGGAGGTAGATGATGAGCGGGGAGGTTGAGATTATCTGGGGCGTGTAGGGTGGATGTTCGCAGACATAAGGGGCTTGGACGGCGTCTGTCTCAGAGTTGGTGAGGATGCTCTGTTGAGCCCCGACAACGGATGCGAAGAGCAGGCTTAGCCTCATGGCGACTGAGTTGATCTCGTCGCTTCATACCGCGAACATCAGAGATGAGGAGCAAAGCCAGGTGAGAACCATCTTCGAATTTAGCCATTGCTTGTACGAAGTGGTGGTGAGAGCGAATCGGGTGAGTCCCCAAACTTAACCGGCGGGGCCGATCAGACCTCCGACATGATTCCCGGAAGAAGTCTCGCCCATGGTCCGAATGCTAAACATCAGAATACACGTCCGGGCTCCGTATGCGCTCGGGATACCATCAACACAATGCGGGCGCTCTCTTTGTGGCCACTGCTTGTCGGCCATGGATTCGCATGGAAGCATGTCTCCGAGGAGGTGCTCCGAGCAGCACTGAAGGATAACGAGTACACCCTGGTGGCCTGTAAGTTCAAGTCCAACCCCAGTATTCGTGAAGACCTACCATCTTGAGACCCTGAGCTAACCACGCTCGAGTGCAGTTGTGTTGGTATGTCTTTGCTCATTCTTGACCAGTCGCCCCTAGCTGTGTTGACAGTGCGGACAGCCCGAGACCGAGGCCAGCAAAGAACTCGAGCCAGAATGGACGGAGGTTCAAAAGAGATCAAAAGATGAAAGTATCTTCAGTTTGGACTGTTTGGCGAATCCAGACGTGTGTCAGGAGTTTGATGTTGCATCGTATCCCGCCATTCGGCTCTATCACCGTGACGGCGAGATGACTCGCTACCGTGGGGAGCGAAAGGCCGACCTGTGAGCTGCTTGCTTTGTGGGAGGGTTTCCTGTGTTTGGGCTGACCAACTCTGCAGGATGCTCTCTTTCTCAAAGAGAGCACGAAAACAAGCGCCGCTGGAAGCAGATGCCTCCATCGTCCCTTCACTTCTGGACGACGATGAGATCATCTTCCTCGCTCATATTGCGCCGGGCGATGAAGCTTACAGAGATCAGTTCAAAGCACTGGCGACCAAGTACCGGGACTCTTACACGTTTATCGTGACTGGTCCAATGAATGGTCAGTCTGCGCTGCATTGCTTTAACAATATCAACGAGGAGGAGCACACGACAGAGCCCCTAGCGAAGATCGGAGGCCTAGAGGCCTTCATCAAACGATGCTCAGGCCCTCTTATCCCGGAACTGACGAGAGCAAACGAAGCGGAGTACACACAGGCGCGTCTTCTCACGTTTCCCGCCGGCCTCTCATCTCTCACTGACTCCCGCGATGCAGACAGGCAAAAGCCTCCTCCACTTCTTCTTTTCCTCCAAATCCGAGCGAGACAAATGCCGAGCCGCCTTCAAGCCACTGGCGAAGAAGTACGCCGAATTCCTCGTGTTTGTCTTGAACGACGTGAACGAATACCCCGAGATGCTGGGCATTTTGGGACTGAAGGACGGATCAGAGACGGGCCTTTCACTGCAGAACCCAAATACAGGCGACGTGTTTCCATTCAGGGGCAGCAGGAAAATCACGCCCCAGGTTGTGGAGCAGTTCTTGAACGATGTTATCGACGGGAATGTCAAGGCGATGGATAACAAGTCGAAGGGTGGACATGATGAGCTGTGATGCCCCCTCTGCGGGAGTCATGAAGTGCGCAACCTCAGTCCAAGTCCATCATTCTCATCATCAAGGCGAACAATCATCTTCCCAGAAACCTTTTCCATTGCTTCCAACGTGCCAAGATGCTCAGTGTCCTCGTCCGGCGCGTGATCCAATCCGTGGAAGAGCAACGCCAGCGCCGAGTTCTTCCAAATGCGCTCCTTTCTCGTCCTCCAAGCCGTTACCGAAACGAACAGGATTGAGGCGGCGAATATGATGGTAGGGTACGCGGCATACCGCTTGTTGATAGCGAAGTAGGCGCCAAACGATGCCCCTTTTCCGAAGACGTAGCGGCCAGAGTTGGACCGGATGTTGTTTGTCAGAAATTCACTCATGCGGTCCATGAATCGCACCGACTGGTTCTTCAAGGACCCCTGAAGCTCGTAGTCTCCGTGTGCAATGCGGTCCATCCAGTCACCATAGAACATTTCGATCCGGGGCCTGGAGAAGTCTAGGGAGTGGAGGATGGTAGAGTCGTTTGGCATCTCGCGGTGGTACGCGTCCGACGTGTCGGTCAGGAAGGGGATGAGCAGGTCTCTCACGCCCCTGTATGATGAGGGGTCGACGCTGTAGTTGCATGGCTCTACAGTTTGGTTAAAGCTGCACGTGGTGACGCCGTCGATGATGATGGGTTGTTGAGTGTCTCGAGATATGTTGCTCGAGGTGTTGTGATACGTGGCGACCCTGGCCGTCCATTCGTTGGTAGTGCCGTTCAAAGAGAAGGACTTGAAGTGCAGCCCGGCCCAGTAAAGAACGCACTCTGCTGCTTGGTAACTCCCATTGTAGTAGCCAAGGGCGGCGAAGTGCACTACCAGGGGCAAGTTCGTGGCGTACTTGGCGTAACCACTTCGGTCTGGAATTTTCTCTCGTGCAAGAAGGCGGAGTCGAGTTAGAAACTCATTGGCTACGAATTGGCCGTCTGATCTTCTCGTCACGTTGGTCAAATTGTCGACATCGGCTTCGTTGGAGGCGGCATACTGAACGTTGGTGGTGGGGTGGCGTCTTAAGTCGACGTCTGCTTCCCGGCAGTCGTAGTCAATGCCCAAGGTTGTGAAGTTTGTCCATTCGCAGAAGTCGAAGGGGCACTTGTAGGTAAGTTGAGTCCCTTGAATGTCCACAGATTTGGCGGCAGCGGCCCAAGCAGCCTGAATCGAGCTGAACATGGCCAGCCCAATCCCAGACTCGTTGGAAGAAGGTTGCATCGCGCCCTTTTTAACAACCTCGTTGGTGACGGGGAGGAGGGGCGCGGCGGTATTGGACTGGGCTTCATCCAAGAAGATGCGCGTTTGTATCTGAACCGTGTTTTGGATGAATGGGCCGAGCAACACAGCGCTGATGATGATGATGCAGCCGAGAGACGTAAAATGTAAGCTGAACCTGGAGAAAAGAAGGCGAACTGCCCCCAGGTTCCCTCGGCTTGCGCTGTCGATGAGCTCGATATCTTTGACTCGGCTGGATTTGCGCAGGTAGTGCCATTTCAACTGCCCGATGGCCGAGGCGACGGGAAGAAGCATAGCAGCTTTCAAGATGGTTGTGATGAAGGAGATGGCGGACTGCAGTGTCCGGAAGAGGCTCGAGATGGCGCTGTCTTCCTCCCATCGCGCTACCAGCTGGCCGTCATACCGGAAGATGAGGTAGAAGAAAATGCCGTACAAGACCCCAGCGGCGGCAAAGGATAGGATCTCCCATATCCAAAGAGTGTGAAGGTCGATGGCGTTGACCGTCTTCAGCGGCTGGTGAGATTGCGTGCCTGGCAGACTTTGGACGGGGGAACGGGTGTTTGGGTGGTTAGCTCCCAAGAGGCCAGACGTCTGCTCGTTGTGAAAGCCTTCTTGTTGCGGGGACACGGAATTCGCTCCCACTGGTGGCCCCGTGCTGGACGCTCTCATCATCTTTCTGGGCTTGACGGTCTGCCCGGTATGCTTTTCCAAAACCCAAGGTTGTGTGAGGAGTGCTTCATAGTCAACACTGGCAGTTGTTTGTTGGCTGAATCGTGACAGAGAAGTTGTTTCGGGCTCGGATGGTCAGGTGGGCCATGTCAGTCATATGGGGTATCGTCACCCTCACGCTGCGTCCGCTCCGAAAGGAAGCATTGCCAAGTGTCGGAGCTGTGGTCACAGCCAGAGTTTGACCCCGACCAATCATGTTGCGAGAGAGGGTTTGTTCGCAGTCGCCAAGCTGGGGCTGAGGACCGATTTGGCTCAATTCCGAACGGAGGACGGGAAGCGGTGCTGTGCCACGTCGGGGAGCCGTTGAAATGCCGGCAAGCTTGAAGAACTCAGTGCGACGTTCCTTGTGTGATTCACATGGCTGGGAGTAGTTGCCTGTGGCACAAATCTAAAACGGGAAGAGCCACTGGGACGTTATTTCGACGGCAGATCGCCATGTGACGTCACAGCCACCGTCTTGCACCTTCCCCGCCACGAAGTCGCAACAGTCGGAGGTACCCATCAACCAAA